CTCTGCCTTTTCCTCATCCTTGCTGGCAGACAGAGTGACACTTCTTTCTACTCCCAAGTCTTGTTCAGCAAGGAAGGAAAAAACATCCTGTTTCTGTGCTTGGAAGCTGATTTCACTCAAGCTGATGGTGCTGTGGGACTTTGTCTGTGCTGTCCATCCAGATCTTGCCTCTTAATACTCTAATAATTTTAGTATTTGTCCACTAGTCGTGATTTCCACTCTGCATATGTATTTTCAATTCTCTTTAGATGCTCTTACCTGGAAGATTCCTGAAATCTTTTGCTGGCTTCATAAAGAAGGGAACCTCTCTGAGGAGGAAATGACTCGAACGTTTAATTGTGGGATCGGTGCTGTCTTGGTAGTTCAGAAGGAGCTGGCTCAGCAGGTCCTCAAGGACATACAGAGACACGAGGCTGCCTGGCTGATCGGGAAAGTTGTCTCCCCACAAAAAGGTTATTAAATTTTTATTTTCCTTAAAAAAAATGCAGAGCTAAATTCCTTAGCTGGTGAGTCTCCCAGGAGGTTAGCTGAAAATCTCTTAATTGACACCTCCATGGCTTTTTTGCACAGGATATTAAAATGAGAGTCCTCACGACTTCAGTCTTAGTCCATAGAACATGTCCTTAGCAATGTCAGATGTCACCAGAACTATAAATAAATAGCGAGAAGTAAAGCAGTGCCATTAATCTCTTTTCATGGATACTTTTCTCCTCTCTCTGTTTCTCCCTTTATTTACATGTTGTTTTGTTGTTTGGTTTGTTTTTTTTCTTGTACGAGTTCAGGCTCTGCCCGTGTTAAAGTCCATAATCTGCTTCGAGCCCTGCAAGCAAATAGGTCACTGTCTTTGCACAGCCATATCCAAGGCAAAATCCAAACAAACAAAGTGAAGGTTGCTGTCCTTATCTCTGGAACAGGTGAGAGTTACAGTCTCTACTACAGTATAGAACAGACTATTGAAAAAGGAACTTCAGCTCAGGTTTGCAATCTCTTACGTCCTTGCAATTCTCCGTGTAGGCTCTGATAGGCTTCTAACAGGCTTTCAGTAACAGGCAGAATAGATTTGTCCTTGGATTCATTTCAGTCACAACCAGAATGGTCTTTAACCTCTGCTGCAAACTGACTATGAGTTGCATCTGCATTCATTTTATCTACACATTTTTGCATGTCTCCGGGTTCAAGCAACCTCTGCGTTGCACTAGAGGGACAGCAGCATTATTTCACAAATAGATCAGAATTTCTTCTTGCCCCGTAGGCACTCCTAGGGTTTCCAGTATTCTCGCTTACTAAGAAGTAGACCATCATTCCAATTCCATAAATTACAGTTTACAAATTTAATTGCTAGTAAAAGCTCTGTAGCCTCTAGCTGTCAAATTCAGCTCCCGGTAAGATCAATTAAAAAAGGATTATTGTTAACATCAGTGGGTTTTGCACTGGGTCACCCCCACCTTGCTGCTTATTTAAAACCTCTTCTAGCTGTTAACTGTATTTATTCTCCAGGAACAACTTGATGTTCATGAATTATTTTTTCACTCATAGGCACAAACCTGGAAGCCCTCATAAATAGCACAAAGAAGCCCACCAGTTTCGCACAAATAGTTCTTGTTGTTTCTAACAAAGCTGGTGTGGAGGGGTTGAGGAAAGCTGAAAGAGCTGGTATTCCTACAAGGGTAAGTATTTCTCATCTTTTTAAAATCAGCCATCGTTAGCTCTGACCATAGCAGGAAGGTACTGTGAGATAACGAGTTTTCCTAGGGTAAGAGATGGTTTGATAGGAAACCTTAGCTTTGCTTTTTTGGTCTGTCATGAACTTGTACCCTTGGGCAAACTGTCTAACATGGGAAGCAAAATACTTCCTTTTCTCCTTCTCAGAGATGCTGCCAGCAATCCTGATGGCTTTGGGAACAGTCATTGTATTAAAGCAGTGCAAAACTTTCACAGTTTCAGGTTAAACTTTGCCATTTATTTAACTGTCGTGCATTTACACTAAAGTAACAAGCTATTTTATCTGTATTTAATTTTAGAATTACGTGCTCAACAGACACGGTAGTTCATTTGAGTGAAATAGAAAGGTGGGACCTTCCACTGACTCCCTGGCCATTGCTTCAGGCTCTCCAGAATTCAGTCAAAGCAAACTGTGTTTCCCTTCGTGTCGCTGGATCCAGTGCTGCATTGCTTTGCCCTTTCTGCCGTCACTTGTATTACAGATGTGAAATGCTACTGTTCTGACTTGGGAGCGTTTTACAGTCACTTTTCACTGATAACTACAGATACAGGGAAGATTTGGGCCCAGTGCAAGCTTTGTTATTAACTTGAATAGCAGCAGGATCTGAATGTGAATCTCTTATTTGGGAGTACGCAAAGATCACAAGTAAAATATGTCCATGGTGTGTAGGGGAAGAACAAATAAACAGAGTCTGGGAGAGATGATGGTCTCAGTGGTTAAGATGGAGAGTGCATGGTGAAAGAGAGGCACTGAGGAGTACCTGCCGTGCCAGTTACTACCTGGTGGTTCCTGGTAGAGTTCAGCTCAGTGTTGAGCTGGGCTCTATTTCTAGTGCCAGCTTTTCAGCTAACCACTTCTGGTTTTTCAAACCTACCATGGTAAATCTGGTAGGGATTAACGGGTACGTTTATTTAAAATACTGTGGATGTCGTAAGTTATGTAGCACTGCCTTCTTCCTGCTTAAATTAGGGGATGTATCCTGGATGGAAAATACATAACTTACATAATATTGACCTTATGCAGCAGAGGCTGTTTTATGAGTTTGTGATTAGCCTTTCTTTCAAGGTTTTGTGATATAATTTTCAGCAAGATTCAACTACTTAAAACTCTCAGAGGCCTTAAATTGAGTGAAATCATTGTAAGACTTTAGGTTGTCTTAATGACCTACCTTTGTAGGCTGTTAAATTGTGTCAAAGTGTTGGGGCCTATGGCTGTGGGCCTAATAAAACAAAACTCATTTATTCTGATGATTTTCCTGTGTGAATAGAAATAAAGACTGCACTTTTGTTAGCTGCATGTGTTTATGAACTGTTCTTCTTGTTGTGGATGTGCACCCAACTCGAGTGACACGTGGAGATCTGCTTGGTTTTTTGTTTATTACTCCAGGGTACCATTTCATTGTGCTCCTAGGGCTTTGAGACTAAATTAACTCCATGTCCATATTTCTTTGTCTTTTGGGTTATCACAGGTTATTGACCATAAATTGTATGAAAGTCGCACTGAATTTGACAGTGCAGTTGACAAAGTCCTTGAAGAATTCTCAGTTGAACTGATCTGTCTGGCTGGATTTATGCGAATACTGTCGGGTCCTTTTGTCAAAAAATGGGAAGGTAAGCACAGCATAGTAGTATATGCATTTGAAAAAAAAAAAAGTAATTTTATAGCTCATCGTCAGGCAAAAGAAAATGGGAAAAATATAGAAAAGAGACCATATTAATTCTGGGTTTGCAGGAAATTAGACTCTTCCCATCTTGTAAGGAAAAAGATGAGAAAGGCAGGATTTTTCCCCTTCCCTCTGTCATTTCCACAGAGGTTTAAGGAAGCCAAGGGCAAATGCAGATCTTGTAGTCTTTAATTTATTAGAAAATATTTTCAAGTAAGGCTGTGAAGACTTTAGACCTCTGCAAACACGAGGTGCAGGGCAAATTGTTGCCTAAGTAGTAGGTGTTGGCTGGGGAGAGGTGAGCATCCAGCCACTGAGAATTCCTTCCCCAAACAGATGAGCTGCTCTGGCTGCATATAAAACTGCAGAACTGGGCAGGAACACGCAGTTCCCGTTCACAAGACCTTGCCAGTCTTCTGGTCAGACATCTCTGGAGCTGCCTGAACCCAAGGGGAGCATGTTTCCCAGGCAGATTCAGCTGTTGTTTGTCCAAAGTGTTCACGGTGTCTCCAATCTGGTCATCTTTTACAATTTTTCCAGGTCTTTTGTTAGAGGCTGGTAACACCTCTGCCTAGTTCAGTGGCCGTTCTCCCTTTCCCTGTTGTTACCTTCCTCTTCTTACCTCTTTCTGTTTCTTTTAGGGAGTCCTGAATCCCGCAGAGGCAGCTGCTCTTCTCACTGTTTGCTCTGCTTTGGGTTCAGTCACAGTTACTTAAACTTAGTTCTTGCTCATACCAGTTTACAGACTGGTCAGCCTGTACATTGCAGCTCGCTGAGGGGACTTTATTGCTCACTCGGTGACTTTTGGGTTACCCTGGGTGTGTCTATGACACAGACCTTTTACACCTGAACTACTTTTCAAACCTCTCTTTAATATCGGTGGAGCAAAACAGGCGTTCCTAGGAGGCAATTCATTTTGTGCTAAAGCTGTCAGCTGAAGTAAGTCAGACGAATTGCTTTTGTTTCTCTCCATTCATTACGGAGTCCAGAAGACGAAGATGTAAATGTCTGTCCTGTAGACAGCTGTAGTTAGCAGAGAGGAATCCCTCGCTACAAGAGATGTGTTTTGAGTAGAGTATCTGTGGAGAGGATGGAAAAGAAGAGATCTTATGCAAATAAAGGATGAGTTTAATTCCCTCTGATTTAGGAACAGAGCACTTCGAGCACAGTGCAGGATTTGCATTACGTGTATGACTGGCCCAAGGGAGCAAAAGAAAAGACTTTCTTCAGTACAGGATGGTTAACTCAGTTTTTAAAATGTCCAGCATTGAATTGACCTCGAAAACAGATACCTACCTGAGCTCTGACCAAGGGCGTGCTTCAGTTCGGGCTTAGATGTGAGCTCAGACATTCGGTTCAGCTCAGGGATCTGTGCCAGCTAACAGGAGCCTGCTGTAAAACTCTGACCCAGCCATGCCTAGGCACTGACTGCCCTAAATTATCCACGAGTAATCAATTCTTGTGGCTGCTTTCTTAAAAGCTCTTTCTTTCTCTTGCAGTCGGAAGGACATAGAGTGTGAAGTTAGTTGTGAAACTCTCTTTTGCTTAACGGCCCTGAAATGTTTATTTTGAATGTTAACATAAAGGACAGATTTAAAAACCAAACCAAAACCAAGCAAACGGAAAACGACATTCCTTTAGAGCCGTTTCGGACAGGACTGTAATGAGAAACTGGGGAAACTCAGGCAGAAGTGCAGGGTGGTGTTTTCAGCTCACTGTCCCCAACACTTTTTTGCTCAAGCAGCAGGCAGGGAGATGCTGATGCTTAAAAAGGGGTATTTTTGAGATACAAAACACATTGGAGATACTGTTGAAGATCAGTTAATACATTTGCCTCTTGAAGTTGCACAGGTCGGTATCTGCATGAGTTATTGCAGTGAGAGCGCAGGTTTTGTATGGTGCTGCCAGAAATGGCCTTCACTTCACATTACAAAATCAGAAGCCTCTATTTTGGTACACTGCTGCCTCCGCCAGCATATGTTAGCTCAGTCTCGCTGCTTGGCATTTACGTGGTGTTCAGTGAATCCTGATGACATACAGTCTTCCTAAACAGGAGGCATGCAGAGATGGCGTGGGCGTAGCATACTGTAGTATAAATAGTTTCGATGGCCACTTTTTTTTATCCTGTAAGGGTTCGTATTGAAGCTAAGAGAAGATCTAGGGCTGTCAAGCACCTTTTGACTTCACTCTGGTCCCAGAACGGGCAGGAGGAGTTGTCAGGGACGTATTAGGAGCAGACAGGGAAAGTCTGCCAGAAGAAATATGTTTTTTTCCATAGTTTAACCATCGCATTGCTGTAGTGGTGAAACCCTGAGGTCATGGGCAGCCACTCTGCCTTACTTTACAGCTAGGCAGGAACTCAGGCTCTTCTTTTAAGGTAAATGTAAGGTACAGGCTTCCCAGGGTTATAACCACGGTTGCACCCGGTTCAGTATTAGAGGTTACATTATCAATTTCAGGATCTCCCAGCCAACTTTCTGTGTGGACAGTAGTAGTGGTAGAGAGATGCTTTTTAGAAGGGCAAAGAGAAGGGCTCCTATGGGAGCAGCTGTTGTCTTTTATTAAGCCAAAACAGGTGTGGAGGAAAAGTCCAGGCTAAAGAATTTTTGCCTTGTCACGGGAGGGATCTGTTATGTCATTTGAAACTGCCTCAGGTTTCTTCTGGGTGCCGAGTTTGTAAGAAAGAGGATTGTGCTTGTGATCAAAGAAGAGAAGAAAAAGATGCTGAGGGAGAGGACAACAGCTACATCAAAAAATTAATCACTATTAGTCACTGGAGAAATATGCTTTAGCCATGCGATTAACTGTAACTGATTGCGGTCTTCGATCTTTCTGAAATAGGGAGACATTCTGAAATGCTTTGGGCTGGTTATCTGTCCATATCATCAAAAAACAAGCATATGCAAAAGTCGTGAAAAATGTTTTTCTCAGAAGTCTTTTGTTCCTCTGTTGATGATGGTACTTTGAACGCTCTGGTAAAGCTGAATGCTAAAAGACAATGACCTCGCTTATAATTTTCCAGGAAAAATACTGAACATCCACCCATCTCTACTGCCTTCTTTTAAGGGAGCAAATGCCCACAAATTGGTGTTACAAGCCGGAGTCCGAGTCACAGGCTGTACTGTGCACTTCGTAGCTGTGAGTACTTCCTTCTCCCTCCCTTTAACTCTATTCTTCATTACTCTTAAGATTTTCACCTCAGAGCTTGCTTGCAACACCATCATGTTTGACTACATTTTCTCTTTGGTTCATTCATAACATTATTAGACAATATAGAGCTTTAGTTTGCTGTGCCTGGAGAAGGAACTGGAAATGAATAGTCTATACAGGAGTTTAAGCTAGTTAAGCTAAGTTAGTTTTAAGCTAAGTTAACTTCTTCCCTAAGCATCCCACTGCTGCCTTCCACCAGTTGGAGCAGGGGTACTAGTTCATACAAGGCCTTGGCTAAGCCAAAAATCTTTATTACTACACAGCACCAACTTCTTAGATTTTATCATACATTTTATCATACAACCTTCCTTATTTGTTGCTTTCAAGAAAAAGAAAACAGATCAAAAAAAAAAACCCAACCACTGGAACTGGCACAAGAAGCTTAGATTTGTTAAGAAGTAATCCAAGGTTTGTGGGAACAGAAGAAAACAATTTATATTCGTCAAAAACTAAGAAAACAAAAGCCAGAGATCTCTCAACTTGGAAGATTCACATTTTTAGCAGGTCAGGGAGCATTTTTTCCATCTTGTTCAGTTCTCAGGCTTGACAGTAACTGTCTGCTCTGCTTCATTCTTCAGATTATGCTCCCCTTTTCCACTGCGCCTGAAATCTGTTCTCATGATTTTTGCTTTCTCTTGGAAAAAGAGACAAAAAGTGTTTTTCCAGATAGAAGGAAAAATTGCATTCCTTTCTCCATGATATGACTGAGAGTTTCTTCTCTGTGTGGCAATGCACTGAAAAACAATAACTGAACAGCAGGGCTCTGCCTCATTAGCATGCAAAAGAAGGATCTGCTGGGTCCTTTGGTCCAGCTCTGTGCCGAGGCTTGGCTCATTCACTCTTCTGAATTGAAATATCATCATTTTGTCCAATTTAACCTACCCTGTCCCCAGTTAACGTGGTTTTTGTTGTTTTCTGTAGCAGAAATGTCGCTTGCTGGTGTTCTGCCTACCTCCCTCTTTTTCCTTTGAACCCTACACTTCTGTTAGTTCCTGAGAGGCCAGCGTGAGTGCCAGCAGCTTTTCTGCACTCCTCGCATTAGCCCAAATTCATGTTTCCTATAATAACATAATGATAAACAGATCCCCAAAGCAGCTGGATTACATTTGTTACCGTACAGCTTCGACCCCCTTCTCGCTCCTCTTTCAACTGTACGGACTTGCTGGCTGTTGCTTTTACAGGAGGAAGTTGACGCTGGAGCAATCATTTTCCAAGAGGCAGTGCCAGTTAAGGTTGGTGACACGGTGGAGACCCTGTCCGAAAGGGTGAAGGAGGCCGAGCACCGAGCCTTCCCAGCGGCCCTGCAGCTTGTGGCCAGCGGGGCCATACAGGTGGGGGAAGCTGGCAAGATCTACTGGAAGTAGGAGCAGCGTGGCAGCAAACATCCTCAGATGGGAGAGCTGGAGTGCCTTAACTGATCAAAACAGAGGTCACAGACTAATAACACAGACACTGTATTCTCTTCACAAAGTATTTGCAACATAGAGTTGACCATGTCGTGTTCTCACTCAAATGGTTAAAGATTCAAAGTAAAATCCGGAGAAAGCCACAATGGGAATATTAAGGCAGGGGGCTGTTCTCAGTAGTTTCAGCAACAGCTCCAGTACGTGCTTCCTAATTATAATCACTTCCTTGACCAACATTTCAGTTCTCACTCTCTTTCTTAACAAACGAAAAACCAGAGAGATCTGAGCATCTCTGAGATTAACTTAGGAACATCAGTATTACTCTCCAACAGACCGTAGCGGCTGTAACAGGGGATTTCCTTGTTATGTGCTCTGAAGTGTTTGCGAGGAAAAGTAATGGAACTAGGACAATGGAAAAGACAGCTAAAGGCAAAAAACTTTACTCATAAAAATCTCTAGCCAAAACAAGAAAAACTGGCCTCCCAAAACACTTAACTATTCCTGCAGATAATTAATTTGGTTTTTTTCCATATAGTTTCTGTTTTAATGTTGGTACATCTTGTTTGGCCCAGATTCTGGACATATCCTGTGATTTCAAATATCGGACCTGCTATCAGTCAGATGCTAAATAGAATTAAATGTCTGCTGACCATTTGCCTTCAAGCATCCCCATGTGAATCCACATACGAATTCCCCTCAGAGATTTGTTCCAAGCCAAAAGAGTTGGGGTTTGGGTTTTTTTTTTTTGGAAGGAGCGGAAAGGGAGTTAGGACAAGATACAAAATGTGTTCTTGGCTTGCAAGACATTCTTCAGACATTCTGCTGAAGTTAAGTGCCTTTATTTTTGGAACAGTATTTTCACTTGGAAATAATACTGATGGAAACCCAGTAAATGTTATAATTCTGAAAACAAGTAAGGTTTTTTGCACAGCTCAACTCATGAAAAAGCACCCAGGTTTCTTGTAATATTTTAGTGCAGTTGTGAAAATGTTTTAATGTATTTACTAAAATAATCAATTTTCCCCCATACAAACCAGAAGCATCTGACGGAAGCTGATTATGTATGTTTTAGAGCTCCCTTTTATTACAGAGAAAGCTGATTTGTATTCTGAGCACTGATGTCCTTATGGTACTTCTGTGTTGACGTAACCTCAATTTGGCTGTGAAATAAAGTCTAATAAAGTTAAAAAATTAAATACCAAAATTTTTTCCTTGGAATTCTTTTACCAGCAGTATAAGCTGGAGGAGGAGTTTGTGAAACAGAATTTAACTGTCTGCAGTACAGCAACGGTAAATCAGTTTGTGAGGTTACAGACGTGCAGTCCTGCACAAGTTAGTAATGATTCGCGGAGCGTGGTGACCTTACTGTTTCAGTGGCCATATGGTCCGTGATGAAGAAACTTGCTGACAAAATATTCCTGTCATCATTTGTCACTGAGGGTAAAGCTCAAGCGAATACAGAGGAAAATGACATGGTCAAATTTAATTTGCTTGTAAAGGGCAAAGAATCAAAGCTTCATCCCAGCATTTTGCTTTACAAACCAGGCCTCCCCCACAGGCAGACTGCCCGCTGAGTTTTGAAATCCAGCCTGGCTCAGTGAGAATGCAAAAGATGCGGGGAACGTCCAGCTCTGGCAGGGGTTCAGCCCTCACAAATTCAGTGCCTTAGCCATGACAAAGTAAACATTTTACAAGTCAAAAGAAACTGTACTTAAATTAACTCAAACTTAAATTAACTAAAAATAACGTTAGAAGAAGTAAAACTACTAGGGGTGAAATCACTACCTGTACAGTTAATAAATATAACATTATTGATAAAAGCAGTTTGTTCGCTGCCAGAAAGGCCAACAGCAGAAGACCAGGCGCTCCAAATCCAATCCCCCATTCCATCACAGACAGCTTGAGCAAGACTCGGGTATCTTGCCATCTAAGGCTGATGACAAATGGGATTTAAGCACCTATCTATATTTCTACAAAGGCATAAAAAGAAATTTCCCTTGTGAACTGGATCTTAGACGGCTTTCCTTCAAGTACCCCTGAGTGAAAAGAATAAATAGATTAATAGACTGTCACCACACCCACTCTCAGAGGGATGCCAGGAGCTCAATTAGAGAAAGAGTCGTTTGATTCCACGCTGGTTGTCTGGAGACTGATCAGAGCACAACAACTAGCACTCTTTTAACATTTTATTTGTTAAGTTTGGAACATTTAGTCGTGCGTGCTATGCAATTCAAATAATATACAACGGGAAGTTACTACACAGTTAAAACAGACCAACAGCAAACTAAGCAATGTGTTTATCATAAAAATTACATATATATATA